TGATATGCATTATTGTTGCGTGTGTTATCACATTATATGTACCCTTAAAATGTCTTGCTGAATGATATTGAAATGTGTTGAGTTTGAGGTTAAATGAAAAGCCATAGAAATGCGCTATGTTCTATTCATACTATAATTCAGTCAATGATGAATTTTTCTACACAGTTAAAAATGCATAGATAAAATATCGTTAGCTTTATTCTAAGAAAATATAGATGTATCTGTTTCCATTAAGGAACTATAGCGTTTTGTGCTATCTGATTTATATTCTAATCAAGTAGCCTGTAAACATAAAGTAATAATTTGATAATTGTTTTTAACAAAACGCTCTGTAAAAATGCGTATGCATATTATAAAGTCACATTCTGACAAATTAAGAAGCTTCTTTACTTTTAAACCATTTTGATTTCCTGATACGAGTTGAACGTGTATTAATCATCCAATTTCCTGAAGGATGTCAGTTCTTTGATTGATTATCGTCTATGTTAGTATGTTCAAGGTTATCATTATCAAAATCTGATCAATTTCAGATGAGGGAAACTTTCTTAAAAATGATACAAGTGTAATATCAGGAAAGATCACACTGTCTGATGCATCTCATTGATACATGAACTAGTTTGGATAACAAAAAATATCACTAAATTAGAATAAGTTCGTTGTTAAGTAAAATAATCGAACAAAAGTTATGTTTATCGTACAGCATAATATAGAGAAAAACAAAATCCCTAAAGAACACTCAGAACACAAAATTGTTAATGTTGCAGGCTCAGTTTAATTAATCTTGTTCATGGACGGTACTGGAAAGTGCAAGTTACCGAGCACACAAACTTGCACCGACTTAAGCAGAATTCAACATTTAATCATAAAAATGGTGTTTTTTTTTAATCCAGAAACATCCGCAGTACATTGTATCATGCGGAAACAAATGTTTCAGACATATTATGAATACTCGAAAGTATTGCAGTCCCCAAAAAGCTTCACTCATGCGGCATTTTAATTATTTTCTTTATCTATAATTTGTAAATTAATTTATCTTCTTGCGAACAATTCTACGAGTGTAAAGATTAGCGGTAGAATAGTACTAATAGATATATGGCTTTCTCGATACGCATTTGACTGCTTTGTTTTGGGATTGATACCAAAATGAAATACCTCCTAACATATGCAATATCGTAAATATAGACTCTACAAAGTTTAGTAGTTTTGTTGTTTTTAATGCTACCACAACTTTTCTAGATTTCACAACAGCAGTTGACAGGAGGGCTGATGGACTTTTTTCTCTTATGAACAGATTCAATCAGACCTAGTTTTCATTTTTGGCATAATTTTCTTGGCTGTCTGCATTGCTTCCAAAAGAAACACGCCTTTTTTTCAAATGTTTGCATAAATTTATTTCTTCAATGCTTCCAAAGGAAAAACGCTTGACAAGAATTTTAAAAACTAAACATATTCTGCCACTCAAAGTTTTGTTTCCGTCTTAATTTAATGTTTAACTATTTAAAATCTCAAAAAAAAAAAAAAAAAAAAAAAAATGGCGTTTAATCGGCGTTATTATGGATTCTGTACTTTTCCCTTTTCCTAAAGTATAATAATATAAAACAATACATACAAAAACATGCAAATTTTGTTTTTCTATTTCATATTAAGCCTTATACTGAAATATGTCAAAATGGTTGAACAGAAAAAGAAATTTCATAATGCTTCAATGGCGTCATTGCATGGCACCTTAAATGTCCCATATTGTAATTAGACAAAGTTTTTTTAAATTATCCTAATAACTCGACACATAAATTAAGCAAATTAATATTTTGGCTGTTAGTTCCAAAACGTGTAAATGAATCGACAACGTATCCCCGGAAAACAGACAAAACAGAAAAATTGATGGCCCCATCCTTTTAATAGAACATTTATATAATTCTCAGGTAATAATCTAGATAAAGAAAAGGACAATTTAAATTACGAAATAAATCATAATTTGAAGAAATAGAAGATTTGTTTAATTAGCATTAGCCTTTGTTTGTTATTTCACTCATAAACACGTAATTTCGCAATTACCATTTTTTATATTTTCAATTATACAGAATTATACAAAAGGAAAACGCTGACACAGTGAGTTTACTTTACAAAATACTGGAACAAAGCATCTGCCCTGATGATAAAAATAAATGATCAAATCAGGTTTAACTAATTCACAATCATATGATTAATATAATTGTTTATAATGATAGTAATAATTCCGCAAAAATGGTTAAATATAGTTGTTAAATGTAGTCACGATACTCAAATTTGAAACAAAATATGGATCTAATTTCTTCAGTAATTTCTTTAGTAGTCCAAAAACATGCAAAAGAAATCTTATCGAGTTGATGTTGTTTTTTTCTTGTTGGTTGGCAAACAAAGAGCAAATATAATTATTGTTTTTGTTTGTTTGTATTATTGTAAGATTAAAGCCATTCTTAAGAAAAGTATCCAAAAATGAAAACCTATCGGGCTTTATTTAGGCTTTTAAGATGCTCATTCGTCTAGTTTCTCTGCGCTGGTAAACAACTTAATTCAGTATAAAATTGCACAAAATACGATGTTGGGAATTAACTGAATTTGACAATATTTATTTTTTTGAATCCAGACAAATGGCTTAAGTACAAGATTTAAAATCTTGAAATTTATATAAAATACAGTCTGCAACAGATTTCTTACACGGTCAATGTATTACATGCTTTGTTATTTGTTTTGTTTTTCTTATTAGTTGGTTTCATTTAGTTGTACAGCGCACTAACACAATTTAGGTCATATGACAGTGAAAATAGGGAAGATGAGTTTGACTAACCTACTTTTTAGGATGTAACAATTAAAAGCAACACAGGGATCAAAAATATCAATTTTATTTGAACCAATTTAGTTGCTTCTTACGATTACGAAGAGGAAAAGGTTTGGTTTAACCCCTCAGCCACAATTTAATTTATTGTTTAATAAATACTTGCAATATGTTATTCCTTTCAACTGATGAATTCGATGAAAATGTTAATGTGATAGCTGAGTCACGAAACTTGTAAATTGTTTTTGTATTTTGTCTGTAGGCTGATTATATAATAAAACTTGTTTTCGTTATAATACCAGTTGGGTATTTTTTAGATAGTTCTGAAGTAGCATTTATAAATGATATTACCATTTGCCTTCAAAGTCTACGTTACATTAATTTACTTTTTTGAGATTTTGAAATGTTTCATAATATCACACGTCAATTTGCGATGATAATTTCCGACTCAACGTTTTAGATTTTACTATTAAAATCCATGTTTGAAATTATATAAAACTATATGATCAGAGCACAAAAAGTACTTCCAGAGAAATATTTTTTTTGTGATAATTCGAGCTATAAATATTTGTATGAATTTTGTACCGGCTAAAATGCAAGATATTGACGTTTTTAATAAAACCTTTGCACAGAAATGTATGTCTTGATGAATTTATTTTTGTTAATCGTTTTTTTTTAATATATATGTTTTCCTAATTTTAGAGAGAAACAAGACCAAACATAGTTCGGCGGCCAGATTAAAAAATCATCTTACCTTAGTTAGATTTTGCAAAAATACTTTTTTTTTTCTATTTCCTGCGAATCAATCTCTTAAACATTGCTTTCTACGACAACAAATATATACTTTCCAAAATTTGGGTAAGTGTCACACAGCAATTATTGGCAGCCTGAAGCTTAATAAATAAATTTTAATTGTTTTAAAATACCAGGTTATATCTTACAATACACCATCTGCTTATCAATTCGTAAATTGCTATTTTCCGAGGTTGAATGATAGAATAGGTGTTATTTGCACCTTATATAATACTTCCTTTAGTGCAGTAATGGTAGAATAGTTGCCTAGATTTAAGAATTTATGTTCCAAGACAGTGAAGCTTTTATTATATCATTTTGTATATCAAAAGTAATCCAAGAGTGTTTTGAATAGATTTTATTTCTGTTTACAATTATTGTTACAGACAGAAATGCTATGAATACGAAAACTATGTTTGTTATATATGCTAAACTGTTGGTTATATATGTTAAATATTTATGTTGTAAATGTTTGTTATATTTTTATAATGTTTGTATATAATGTTTGTTATAGTTACATTTTTGCCTTTTTTGGTCTTACTGCGCACCAACACAGTTAACGTCATTTGGCGCCATAGATGATTTTAGCTTACCTCGGGTGTTGCAAACTTAAAGTTATACCTATAGTCAAAATCCATCTTACCTACTGAAGCCTAAGAGACGCATAGATGCCAGTAACTTATGCCCATTAAGCCGCCGCTGCAATGCTGATACCTCAACTAGCAAAGGCAACGGGTTTGTTGTATATAATAAAAGATATTTTTGCGGAATTTTCTTGCTTCATTTATATCTTATATCGTATAGATAGTAACGTTTACCTTGAAGTTCGTTCTACAGAGACTTTATATTTCTATTAAGTGGGCATTTGTTGATTTCTTGTTCATTGTGTTCACTAACTGTTATAATACATTGTATTTGTGGTATACCACTAGTATATTCATATAAAGTAACATAAATAAAATAAAACAAAGAACACATTATTACATGTATATTCATCGGTATATAAACATTATTAAATTGAAATCAAAACAAATCAAATTTTCAATAACTTTATTATCCAGACATAATCAAATATCACAAAGTAATAACAATTTTAACAAACACAATTTCATAAACAGTATATGACGAATTCAATATGTCATCAATATGACAGAATTTTATTTTATGTGTTCAAAGTGACATAATGCCCATCCGATTGTAAAATATGAGTGAACCGGAAAAGGTCATATGAATCTTATAACTTTAAACTTTGTTATTTTTGTTTTCGAGTCTCAAATTTGTTACATATAAACAATCGGTAATTCGTGTGATTTAAGTGAATTTCTATCAAAAGTCTTCGTTAAATATCGGTAATGACATGTAATGAAAAAAAGGTTGGGGAGTCTTTCTATATGTATAACATGCACTCGTTTTAAATACAAAACCAATGCAGCTATATTTGACAACAGGAAATGAACATTATGTCACTTTGAGTAAATGCACTGAATTTATCAGTGATATATATAATATATCACTCTTAGCCTTTTTCTTGTCCTTATTTCTTTTACTTACAAAAGAAATAAAATTAGAAATCCTAAAGAACGCCAAAAAAGCAAATTCATTTGAAACTGTTAAAGGATCAGTTTAAGTAATGTTTTATTATACATTTCAAGATACATATTATAGTTTATATCCTTCAAATCAAATGGAGTTACATAAAGCTCAGTCATAAACATTTTTTTTGTTAAGAGGTATAAACTTTAGTAAAACAATAGCTCATTTTGTCTTGAGTTTAATCTATTGTTAAAGTGACATTATTTCATCAAAGGGCATGTACCGAGAGAACAAGTGACAGTCAAATTTAGTTTACATTTTGCCAAATATCCTTTCAAATTTATAATTGTTTTCGCCTTGACGATAAAACACTCACGATACCTAAAGAAATATCTGAAACGTTCAATTTATAAAAGGAGTGGGACAGTCTTAGTATGTTAAGCAGATTTATATTTTATCCTAAACATTTTCCAATATCAACTGTTGGTCAATCACCGTTATAAAAATCAATCGTTTTTTGAATTTATAGTTAATGCAGCTCAACTTGACTATGGAAAAATGAACATAATGTCACTTTAACAGCTACTGTTTTTGACACTCCTGTTTTAAAAGTAGCATTAAAAAGTTTTAATTCAAATGATTGTCATGTGCAATACCATTTGTTGTACACACTATTGTGTCGAAATTAGTACCTTTTCTAAAAAGTAATATTATGAGGAAAAAATAACAATCGCGTATCGATCGTGGCCTAACATGCACAATGCTTATAATAACATTCACCTAACAGAATGTGTATATAAAAATTAAGGAGATGACAAACACGACTTGGAACTGTTCAAGATTAAACTGACATAATGCCCATCCAAGGGTAAATGGTCAGTAACTTGTAAAAATAAAAATCACTTTTAAAAAATCCGCAAATTGTTTAGCTTGTGGATTTTACTATAAAAAATAAGTAAAAAGTTAACTTGACCAAAATAATTTTTAAAAAATATCGTTCTAAATGTACATGTACACTCAATTCTTAAAAAAGTTGGGCAGTCATTTTTTTAGTAAGGCATATTTTACATTGTATGAAACCCATTTTTTCAATATCAGTTATTGGTCCATCACCAGTATAATAGCCAATCTTTAGAAATATATTACTAATTCCACTGAACTTGACTGCAAAAACATTAAGCATAATATCACTTTAAAAAATGAGTTGTAATGTTGAAAGGAGTCTACAAGCAATGAAAAACATTTTGTGTCTTATAAAAAGACATAATATAAACTAAATATAATACTAAATTAATTAGACGTTTTAGTAACAATTACGGAAATCGAGAACAAAACACATTTTGTCTTTTCAACAAACGAAGAAATTTTAATGTGTTTTATCCTCATTATTATCTTAATAGGAAAATGGAATGTTAGCATTCTTGCAAAATTTAATCTAAATCATATCATCAGAATATATTTAAAACAAAAAGCGCCATTGTACTTCCTAGGCTTGATTATAACAGATTATCACATTTTCGTTTCATGAACCAACAAGTTCTTTTTAGGTCTCGATGACTTCAATGGAGCCGTTTTAACAAAAGAACATCGTAACCTCCCGTTTTTGTCAAGCGTCCATTTGCACAAGCAACCGTCTATCATTCCTGATGAACCTTCTGAAGACATGTGCTTGTCTGAATGTAAATTTGAGCGGGATTCTCGTGGTCGCCTGGCACCATCGTAACTATTGACTAGTAATTGAGCTTGCTGTATATATAGAGGGTCAGGTTTGGAACAAAGTCTATACCACGACTTCCTTATTTCCATTTGAACCTAGGTGGGAATTAGAAACAATAATCAACAATAATTATTTTTGATATTCCATAAATCTGCTAAATAGTAAAAAGTTAATAATCAACTTAAAATTCTTAAAATTCCCATATATATATCAACATTTCTGCTGAACAGCCTTCTTAAGGGTACAAAAATAATAATTAACAATAAAAAATTATGTCAGTGTCACATGACTTCAATAGAGACGACGTCAAAACGTAAAATAAATTGGCGTTATAATCATAGACAGAATCATTTCGATGCACTTTACAAGTGAAGAAAGCATTAAACAAGAACTTTGCAATTCATTTCATTTGGTGACAAAATATATTTGAGTGATATATCCAGAAAATCTCTTTTAAAGGTCTTTTTCAATGTCAATGATGTGTTTCTGTATTAAAAGATATAGATCTGCTAAAGAATCCTTATAATAAAATATTGTGTTGCAATAAGTTAAATTTAGCTAAATTGAAGGAAATACTTTAATAAATTATCTAAGGTTAAATAACTGTCTAAGAACATACATTTTTATTCCGTAATTATATTTTTGTAATTCTCATATAATACTTAATCATACCTCTTGATTGAAAAAACATAACAAAACTGCTACGAGAAAGCCCTGAAAATATAATTAAAAATGTCTTATTAGAAATGTATAAATTTTCTTACAATTATTGTTATTTAATTATGGTCATAATTTCATAATTTTTCTATTTGTTTGAATAGAAAACAAAATAAAAATGATATGTCATGGAACTTTAATGCCCTATACCACGTCACTGTCTAACCACAAACTAAAGAGCTAGCAGAGAAATTAATGAAATATAGTAATACCTGTAGTAATATTTAATATTAAAACATTCATTATCTTAAAGAAAAAATATATAAAAAACTATATTAAATTTTCTTGCAAGATATATGACAACGGAGGCAATTAAAATCAAACTTATAAAGTGTTAAACTTCTTCGATATTAAAAAAGATGTATTCTTAATATATGAAATATGACGTATTTTGTATGTTTATGTCATTAAATGAAATTACAAAGACAATGAACAGTTACAATTCGAGAACAGTATAACTATTTATTCATCACAGATTTTACTTTGTAAATTGACAAAAAAGGCTTTTTCCTTTATTACTGCGTTAAAGTGAATTGGATGAAAATGAAAGTTTGCTACACAATTGTTGCTAATTTGCTAATTAATATATTAAATATAAAACATAAGAACAAAACCACGAACGAATTATACATACATGTTGTTGATAAGTATGAAAAACATGATCCGATATAACTTATCTGTATGGAACAGATACAAAACTGTTCTCAGACAGAATGTGTCATTATTCATATATAAAATTATATACAGTAAATGTTCATATCAAATCCCTGATAACTCTTACAGTTTTTCCTTCCAAGAAATATTTAAAACAAATATATCCAATTGATACATTTGACTTGTTTTCATCAATATCTTAAATACTCTTTGATAAAGTACCCATTGTTGACCAATTCACTTTAATTCAATATCAATTTTGCGTTGAGAAATGTAATTTGTATCCCACTTACTTGAAACGAATTGAAAAACATTTCAAAATACAATTTCACAATTTCTGCAGTTGGATTGAGATTTTCTGGCACTCCTATGAACACTATGTAATGCACACCAAACAGTGGAATTAAGATTAATGTTGCTTTCGCTAAACGTCTGAAATATACAAGATAGGAAGATAATTAATGTATTTATAGTTTTGTTTTGTTTGTTTTTTCGGCGAACGAACATAATTGAGGAAAAATGAAAAATGATTTTGGCTAATATCAAATGTTACAAACTTATATCAACACCATGGCTCAAAACCACCTCACCTTTAGAATCGGCGGACTTTCAATTTCAGGGAAGTACAAACGATCATATACACAAAGTAAAGAGAGTTACATATTGTACATCTTAATGTAATTTAATAGTAAACTGAACTTTCAATTTTAACATTTTAACCCCTGTCCCGCTAAATATCTTCAATAAACACGTATATCTTTCAATCTGGACACGATTATTTAATATCATATTAAGGGAAATTCGCATAAATATGTACTGACTGAATGGGCGAAAAACAAAATGTAATCAAACACATTAGACAAGTTTGAAGCTTCGTCGGATACCCACGGTTGATAAACATGTAACATAACTGATATATGTTAATGGTTCGGCCGTGGGTATCCTACGATGGTTTGAAGTAGCAGATGTAACAATTTTCACTCACCTATATCGGTTTCTTCTTGCAGCCGATGTGCTGGGCTTATGCAGTTTTGTAAATAATGCTCGTAATATATTTATAAAAAAGATGAAATTTATCTGAAATACAAGAATGAAATAGAATTAAACTCAATCAAGATAATTGGGAAAGCATTTTACATTTAGGTCTATGATAAATCAACAGTGATCTTTTTTATACTGTATAATGCATTATACAAATACGATGTGAAAAGATGTGAATTAGATGTTTAAAGTGCATTATGGCAGGTGAAAAGTCGAGATTTAAGCGTTTTATTATTCAAGCCCCTTGGCCGGTATATTCCAGAAAACGGTATTAAGTTTGCTGTTTCAACACTTGTTGTAGTATTACTGTATTTAATATATGTATAACACAAGAATAGACAAGAAATTCATTACCAGTGTGCTCAGAGCTATTGGCCCCTTTAACACCCAAAAGTATCCTAAAGTAGGGTTTGTGTTCCAACATCTGAAGTAAAAACAAAAGAATTCATGTTTCTATAAATGTCGACTTCTTTAGCTTTTTCTTACAAACAAATCAAATTCATAATATAAGGGTTCTTATGTGTAAATCATACTTTGTTTGAGATTCAACGCTCTGGACCAAAACAGAAGATGTTCTTATATAAAGTATCAAATTTCTCATAAAGTAGCACGAGTTTGATAGATATTTTGTGTTTTCAAACACTCTACATGTATCAGTTAATTAATGTTACTGTAATACAAGTAAAAGTGATATACAGTAATTGAATTAAAATAAGTATATGAATAAAATCAGAAACTGATGAAACATTGTCATAATTGCATTATAGAAAACAACAGTTTGCAATAATTTTGACAAGTATTATTATATTAAAAACTAAGCAAACAAAACAGCAAACAATACTTAAGGATTGATCATATTTGAATTTTTTTCATAAGTCTTATTTTTATCCCTAAAGTAACCATAGTATTTATTCTGCGTTAAATAAAGATACGAGGAAAATACACTTACAAAATATTTTCCAAAGTCAATCGAATAATAACCCATGGAATGACACTCAGTAGAGGAGTACCTGATAAATTAATCAAATCATACAAATCATACAAATCATACAAGAAAACTCTAATTAAATAACAGCACAATAAAATAAAGTATAACATAATTGATTTCCAAACAGCGTACATCTATTGAGACGCTATCAAATTCAAAGTGACAATTTGTAGATATAAAATTATTTAGATAGCTTCATTACAAAAGTTTGGAAGGCATCATTGCATACAATAAACATGCAGATATCCTTATAAAGTCACACGCACCAACTCTTTCTTATCAACAAATTCATTGTAAGAATGTATAATAAATTTATGAATATTTTCATTGTTTTGAAGTCACAAATGTATCTAAATGCGTAAAATAATATTGATCGCATTTTCTTACACATGTTTCAAAACACTGAAATATTATTTGCACAGTTTACTATATTTTGTTACAGCTTTCTATTTGACAAGTTTACAGGTCTTAAGAATACTTGCCAACCGTTTTATAGCACGTGAACTTATACTCCAGCTAGTATTCACAACAACTGGTACAAGGAATAGATCATATGACGATATTCCAGTTTATTGGCTGCGGAAGAACTCAAGTGCCGTTTCGTGCATCTTTTCAGGCTAAAACGGGAAACCGACAAGAACCACCGACGTAAAGTAAGCTAGATGGCTTCCTCAGACCGAGTACAATAGACCCCAGACTGCGTATGCATGTATCAGAAGTATAAATAGAATGGGATATCCAAAAATAAGTATCTTACCCCAACCAAGGAGGTAATACCATTTGACACTGCCTCGTTCTGAAAATACTGATACGTAAACCAGGGTGTGGAGATATAAACCTTCTACAAGGATCCACATATAGTTCGCAGTTAACACATAATGAAACAAAGTATACAACAGCTTACATTCCCAGTGCTGAAATAAGAATTCAATTAAATTTAAATTAAATATAATTATTTTTTTCCGCCTTTGACAATACATACAAAACATAAAGTCACATGAAATATGACATACACAAAAAACAAATACATATCATGTTCACATTAAATGAAGAAACAAATCAAAATTTCATTTTTTGCCTTTTTTCCAGAGTTCAAAGTTTAATTATTTAGATCATTCAGTTATATAATAATCTATAATATTAGAAATAACTCCTTTTTTGCACGTACATTGGTTGTTTGAAAAAATACGACCGCCATATTTTCAAGCCTGGTTATCGAATAAAAACAAAAAAAAGACAAAAAAGATATCATCGTATACAATACTTGGAAATATTAAATCATGTATATCAATTCAAAATAATTTGAAACGTTCGAGTCGTTATAATTGAAACAATGCGAACAGAACAACAACAAAACATCGTATACAATACTTGGAATTACTTATGAATTTATTGAACCCACTGAGGTTTAAAACATTAAAAATAAATTTGAATTTCTTACTTTGATCAGCTTGGGCATTTAATAAGGTATGCACAATATAATTAATTAAGATATTGATATACTTTAAAGAACTTAAAAAAACGTACCTTTGTGTTAATCTTAGTTTGATTGATGATATATTTTGGGTCATTATTTTACAATGAAAATAATTCTTCTGGGAAAACAGAGAGAGCAAATAATCTGATTTTTGTTACAAGTTATAGACTAGATCTACATCAAATAGAAAAAATATTACTATTCCAGTCAAATAAAAAACCTCAGTGGAGTCCCTTTAATACCAGTAGCTTAAACCTGTTTTAAATGTTTGTACCAACTTACCGTACCATCTTCTATGAAAAGAACAGTGTCGGTGGATGTCCATTCAACGTCAAAAGAAAACCCCAAGCCTTGCACAAGCAACAGGTCTTTAAGAAAAGACAGAATGGCTCGAAGGATAAAAGATATGAACAAGTTGATATGAACTGTATTCCTTGGACAGTGTAGCTTTCTGGATTAAAAAAAATTGTATTAATACAATTATTAAATGATTTGTCAGTAATTTGACGTTTACCTGGAATTCTTTTTTAGAAAAATGGAATGCTGTTTTGTTCTAGCATAAGGTTCAATTGAAAACATTTAAGGTGAATGTTGCCATTGTTTTTTATGTCTTTGATGCAATTTCATTTGAAAATAATTTTGACCAAAATAGTTATAGTTAATTAATTACAGCATGAAGATTCATGTGTTGTTATTTAATTTAATTGTTTTTCAATTAAATTGTCATAAGTCATATATTTTTTAAAATGACGGTGCCTTTCTCTGAAAAAAAAAAAACAAAAACAAAAAACAACGTCAAATTCATTGTTCTTCCAATGAAGTTATAATGAGAACACTAGTGTCTTTGGGACATCATTAAAATTACTGTTACTAAATTGCAATTTAATTTGTCGCATTAAACCTTACACAGGCATCCTTTAACTCGGGTTCCATTAACAAATTTGCTTCAATAAAAATTAAAAATTGAACTGCAGTTCAGCAATCAAGCAGAGGCTGTAAGACAAGTTTAATCTAAATGTTTGAATGATGAAATTGTGTGATCCTGACTAGATAAAGTGCTTACTTCTTTAATTCATAATTTAAATAGTACTACTATAAACAAATACAGGTATTTAAATATCAAAGATGTGAATAGTCAAACTTACCTGAATTTTAACATAATGAAGACAGCAAGAAGTAAAGACACGAATGATATTCCATATCCAGTATTGTACATCAACTGTATGTATTCTATATGGACCTTTAAACAATAATAAAAATAGTCTCTAAAAAGTCTATACACAATCATAATAATCATACAGTTTTATTTGTAATATAAAATATGATAAACAAGATCAACAAGGAAAGGCGGCGTTCAATGAAATTTCGTAATAATGTTTTTATTTTATGTTCGATTTATGAAAAGGCCTTATCAAACCAAATACTTTTAATTGTATCGTTTTTAACGTTATTTGGGGATCCCGCTGGACCTCCTTATGGAAGGTACCGTACACGTCTACTAGTACCGGCTTAGGCAGGTCAATAGGGAAATTTAGAATTTAGAAACATTATGCAGATTGGTCAAAATACAAAAAAAAACAGAATCCTTATAGTATGCACGAAATACGCCATGTGCTTCTAAAAGTGTCGTTGGGAGAACATATACATTATAACAAAACAATATGTATATATAAATTTTAACCATGGGAAAGAATATAGGAACGATCAACAAGGTAGTATGACACCCAATAACTCATCCGTAAGTTATCCAGCATAAGCAAAAGAGATCAAGACAGGCAACAGAAATAGGGAAAAATGTCAAAGTAACAAATTATATATCAACTTACCATTACTAGATTTGATACGTGAGCAACAAGCCTTACACATTTTTTCAAAATACGACAAATTTTAAAGAAAAAAAGAAAGAAATGTCAAAATAGCAAAATACCAACTAACCATTAATAGATTTGAAACATGAGCAGGGGTTTCCCTACTTCTAAGGCACTGTGTGTAATTAGTCCATGTTTTATTGATCTGTTTAGCCGGATTGACATACCACTGACCATCAGGCATACATCTCTTGCTTGCATTACCTGATATACATATGTAACAATTGTAGGTGTGAGTTTAGAAAATGACAAGGTTATTGTAGATTTGAAAAAGAAAGTTTACTTATGTCAGGAAACTTATTTTCGTTATTTAGTAAAGATAAACAAGCAAGGGATAAAAAGTATACACAAAACTAAAATCTTTTTAAATTAGAAAACGTACACAACACTGAGGGCCTAATATCATAATAGTGACTGATAAGTGAGACCGAAAACATTGTGTGCGTTATTTCAGGCACAAACAGGAACCCGAGTAGAACCACCGACGTTCCATAAGCTAGTTTCTTACATGATTGAATCCGTGACGCTTACACGACTCGACATTTCAACGATGAGTAGCAAGTTGTTTTAATTCAACAACATTAACCAATCTGTCAACTGAGATGAGCCGCCTTAAGCTCTTTTCTTTTAGACTTTTTCATAATTGTATATACAATATTTCATGATAGATTTATACACAACCTAAGGAATAGAAACCCTGTATATAGTTCGGGCAGGGTTGGTAGACGATACTTCCGGCGGGCGTGTCCGGCCAGCAAGCGAGGTTGTCCCATGTCCTGTTGCAATATACACCTAGAAACAAAGATATTTACACAATTTTCTTGCAATCAGACAAGATTATCTATTGTTTACGTCGATGCTAGAAAACCCGTCTTACACTCCCCATGTGAGGCAAGTTGCGTGATTTCAATGATGTCATTCCCAAGCGCCTTTTTGAATGAGTTGAGTTTTTAGAATGATGTTATTGTGCCGTTATGACAGCATATGTAAATTAATACGCTACTATAAAGAGTGCTTAATGAAAACATTTGTTTTCGTTATTTTTTTTCCAAATCGAATTCATGTGTAATATGAAAGAAAAATTAATCAAACAATGACTGTCGTCACAGACAGGAATATTTATTTATCGGGTAACTGTTTAGCAGAAACTCGTCAGCCTCGTTACCGCCGTAAACAGTTACGCTCGAGCTAGATATTCCGATCTGTACTGGCAGCCAGTGCAAGATACTTATAATCTGCTACGACCACTTGACTAAGATTCGCTGCATTCATGTTTCCTTTCGTCACGATCAGAGAAACTTTTTGCCAAGAATAACTCGTCCAAAAGCCTTTCATTTGCATCATCTGAAGATTTTACCGGAAATCATACAAATATGTGATCGATTGCACATGTCATGTTTTCAATTTTGTCCGGATGTAATCGAAACATTAAAACCCATACGTGTGTTGAGTGGCGCTACAAATGCTATTGATAAAGACGAAACGGAAACAGCTATCTCCTTAGATTAGGTCAAACTGATGTGTATAAATATTGAAAAATGTGTAATGATATCGAAAAAAAAAAGTTCCTGCATCATTTTAAAAGGATATTAGACATTGGCACGAATAAAATCATTTGGTCTGCCTTGTTGTATCAAGAAAAGTTTAAACACTTTAACAAATGATCTTTTGAGAAATATTAATTCAACTTGTGGTAACTATTTCAAAAAATATTCAAGTTTTTACAGGTTAGTGTTCAGTGGTACACGGCCAAATTCAATAGTTGTATTAACAACGTGACTAAAAGACGAGTGGTTCCAAAAGCATGAACATATATAATTGCCTCGTTTTAAAATGCTCTTACGCTGATAAAATGTTCTTCCCAGGCAATCAAATCAACTTGTTACAAAAAATCGTTTTAAGAAAATTTAAACTTTTTTATTTCCACTCATGTTAATTACTTAAATTACATACTGAAATGTACTGATCATTCTGAAAAATTTCAGAATAAATACGCCTGTCTAGGACGATTACAAGTTAGGTTCGAAATTTGCATAATTTTGAAATAATTGGTTTTCTAAATGCGTTAATTAGAATCACCTGTGCGGGTTTAAAGTTACTGCAACAGATTTAAACTTTGCAACAGATTTAAACTCTGATGAACAATAAGCATTCGCTACGAATAAAGCAGATTTGTACAATAAAACATATGCACTTTAATTTCTTCAGATATTATTTAACGAAAATGTAAGACAAATTTAGCATATAAAGTATTTGCTTGTTTAATTATATTTCTGGAAGCTGACTAGCTGTCGCCGTAAAATTCAAACAAGAAGCGATTAAGAGTCTTTGCATTGAAATATATAAACAATTTCTCATTAGATGAAGTCATTTGCATATTTTTTTCTGATTCAAATATTTGTTTAAGACCTCGCTGATATTTGTTAAGCAAGGACCAAAGTCCTACATTTTTTTGTAGTTGCTTATACAAAACTTGATTGTGTAACATTTTACTGGCGTCGACCTAAAGAAAGATAAACATTTAAAATTTACGATAAAGAACGATAAATACAGATAGAAAGTTCATCGTGCTTTGATATTTTCTTTGCATTTTATTGGCTGCTCTCATTTAACAGAAAGAGAAAAACTTCTCTTATTGCAGAGCAGTTAACATTAACTGTCGCACATTGTTAAGGATTTAGCTTGGTATATTAGCCTTATCATCGAAACATTGTATTTTTGTAATGTAAATGCGATAGGGCCTTTTTCTAAATACTCAATATATGAAATATGAAAATCAAAAGCAACAAGGAAGAGCACTTTGTAGCACTATTTACCTGGCGGGTAGGGATCGTATAAAATACTATGATAGCACTTGACTTGTTCGTCATACACTGCTTTATCTTGTTCTTCTCTTGAAATATGAACTTCTCCCTGCAATCATAATTTAATATTTATAGTTAGAATTATTTTACGAAATATTTATCATTAATAACTTTCTTTATGCGTATTTGCTCTTCTTTTGATATATGAACTTCTCCCTGAAATCATTATGTTATATTTATGGTTAGAATTATTTTACGAAATATTAAACTTTCTTTATGCGTCCTTGTAAAGCTCACCTGTTTAATTACAAGCTGAGAAAGTCTAATATATAAAATATTTGTTTCAGAGCAATGAACTTTTAGATTAATTACGATGAATTTGTGGTCTGTGAGAGAAAACCTTATCGACAAGCATCATATTTGCATATTCAACAGGAACTTTGTAGAGTTAATATGTAAAAAATCAACGAATTTTAAATTCAGTTTTACAGACTGCGCTCTTTAAAAATTAATGTAGTGTATTTAGATCATAAAATCAAAATGAAACAATTAAATGATATTGGTATATTTCTAACAAAGGGTAGAGCATGCACAACATCAAAGTCAGTAACTAAAACTACCTAAACTTGTTTTGTTAATGTATTTTTTTTATTGCGGTATATTATTTGTGAAAATAACAGAAACACCTTTTTCATTAAAACTGTCGCCAGATTTAATCATTAAACAAAAAAAATATGACATTTACATTGAAATAAGAGCTTAAATCATTGGGAAAAAAATCATTATCTTTTTGAAATGCAATTTAGCAATGTTGTTTCACATGCATACACAACTTACCATATGTTTTTGTAATCATATACTATACATTTAAAATGGTCATTGAAAGATTTTGTTTGTAGTTCCGTGTTAATATCTTCTGCAACAAGCTGCGTTACGTGCTATTCAAGACAAATTTTACTCGTGGAAGAAATATGTATTTAAGACCTGCCACACGTACATTTTATACTGTCATAAGCATCTAAAAGTGTTTTCTTTGTTGTCCAAAGAAATTGTATGCAGTTATTCGCATACTTCATTTTTTTGGTAATTCAAATTTCTAGTATTTGAAATGTACACAAATACTGAAGAACAAAAACGGATTTTTTTTATATTGCATATATATCAAACATTATCAAATTATTGACAAAGTGTCTGCTTCCATACATTTTGTTAACAAATTATACGGAAAAAAGAACTGTAACATCTGTCAAAAAACTGTTGAAATAAAAACAGAGTAACTACAACTACAACTTCAAAGAGTCTTAAGGTTGAAATAACTTCCTTTTAAACTACATTTTATTGAAGTTCAAAAAACTATTCCAGAATCAAAAGTGTTTTATTAAAAAAAGTTTAATTCAACCACGCAATCGAAACATAAAAGAAAGAAAATGTTTTATTTTTAGCAATTATGCGGAAGTAAGGCATTCTTCTCCTGCAGACTTCAGTCTCTGAGTAAAGCTCCAATAGGCCATATCTGTCTTAATAAATCCACTAGCAAATCTTTATTATTCTCTGTAAAGTGGCGACTGCCAATAAGCAATGTGTAAAAAAAGGAAAGAAACATTTTATCATCAAGTTACCAGAATTACGGCTACATTATACAAACTTCCTTGTAACTGTGTAACTGTTTTAAATAGAGGAAGTGTGTTGCTGTTAAACAGTGAAAAAGAAATCAGGTTAAAAACTTTTTTCACAAGCAAATTCGTTGAAAGAGTTACATCCCTCGTGTTATGAATGAATTGTTTAAAAATGTTAAAAAAATTACCTTAAAGCATAAATATAAAATTCAAGTTACATTTCCTATTCACATAACTCCCTTTAATGATATTTTACGAGGATACATAACATTCTTTTAGAGTTATGCCCCACCCCAGAAAAAAATGAAATAAAATGAATGAACGAATGAATGAATAAATAGATAAATAAAAAAAAACATTTAATAGGAAAAATAGCAAAGTGGGATCTATCAATGTAAAATGTCTTAATCCGAGAAGAATTTGATGCGAACAGATATAAAATCAATAACTAAATTAAAAAAATGATAGCAATGGTTCTAAAAAAGTGTGTTTCGCAAAAATGAGATAAATCTTCCTCCAATCCTTTAAAAGTTATGCCGTAGACTAGACTTAAGAATTAAAAAATAATAAGGGCAATAACTCCAAAATTATGGAAAATCGAGTGATGTGATTTGAATGCACTGCTCTTTGCCTATATGGGATATTTTATTAAATAATATTTCAAGTAGATACTGGCTTTATCTTTTAAGATATTCCAAATGCAAAAAGTTCGAAACATTGAAAAGGGCAGGAACTCAAAAACTGGATTGTTTTTCATATTATAGAGGATTAGATATTGTTTTCCTTATGATTTTTGGGAATATAAGTTCCTTGACATTTTTTGTACGAAGAAATGACGTTGGATCATTATAAATTCAGAAATTGCCATATAATTATACATTATTTGTGCCAAGGAAACAAAATTGAATAGTGTGATGTGTATTGGGGTTTTGTTGTTGGATATTTACGTATCAAGTCAAATAATGTGAAGTCTTTGTTAATGCAGGAAATGCCACTGGCATCTTTTTTTGAAACTAGGGCATGATATTGAACGGATATTAAAAGAGGACATACTAAATGATGATACTGTATTATATCCTCGTAATTAAATATGTTGTACAAGGCAAATCGAATTGAGAAAACCCTTAAAGTAGTTTGTTCACTTCCGTGTTGTTATATTTGACTGGTCTTTCAGGATCATTAATATCAACACTTTTAAGTGTTGAAAATTGAGAACCACACAAGTTAGACTTTGTTGCACTTGTTCAATTTCCTTCATGCACACAATCAATCTAACAAAATAGAGTGAATCAGAATCCGTAAAGAAAGTCCAACACAAAGTCTGCAAGTTTCATGTTATTTTGATGACTTAAATGCTTTCGAGGGATGCTCCTGATATTCATTCGATTTTTCCCCGCTCAAATGACCTTTGATAATAGTTCAGATTTTTACATTTGACGCTTTCACTTTGCTTTTGTCCTTTCTTGTTGCTAGCCTCATATGAAATATTACACTTATCGACGACATCTAACGCTATTTTATACTTCATTTCACCTCTCCTCATATTCTGATAAATTTTATTATTAAGGTGTATTATTTCACTTAGCTTACTTTTTCTTCTCTCCTTGTTGTTCAAGTCAAATTTAATAAAAGATTGATCACACTTATTCCATGTACACACTTGAAACAATGAGATGGCAAACATGAATGTCAAAGCGCGTCAGTAAAGGGCAAATAAAGAGCACTTAGGCACTACTTATTCAATTGAAACACGGTGTTTGTGAGAAATGTTGGGAGTACGTTCAAAAGCATGACTTTCACTCCTACATGTTTTTTTGGCGGTCATACAGTGATATAACTGAATGCGACGTAAATGAAATTTGAATAAGCATTGTCTAAATTACAAAACTGAACCTTGTAAGTAACACTTCATAACTGTTAGGCACACATAGTTTGTAAAAAAAAAACCAAGATATTCCATAACAAAAGCATATGACTTTCTAGACAAGTATATTTACTTTATAAATTATGGACTTATTTCTTTTTTATGTTAATTTAGCTAAACACTATATAGCAGAGCATAATTTTTTGTGTTTTTTTTTTGTTAAGAGAAAATCGTGTCGTCTGAAACCATATATATTCTAATGTGAAAACCCAATTCTTGTTTTCATAACATTTTTTATTAAAAGCAAAGTTCTATAAAAACACAATGACGTGTTTGCTTTTAAAAACAGTACAAATGAAATGTCATGTCAAGGTAAATTATTACTTCTGATTTTGCCTACGAAGCTTTATAATTTTGATAACTATAACTTAAGGTTTCTTTTTTATGATTTACGTTTCTTTATTTCATGCTTTCCAGTGTTTTACTATAATATATCAGATGGGTATATTCTGTTAAACACTAGTGAAATTTTTAAAATATAAGTTTCGCTGAAGCTGGACTATATCTGCATGCGGATGAAAAGAATATCATAACTAAATGGAAAAACATGCAACAATAAATGCCGTCATACGTTAAGTTTGCTCCTTTATGAAAAAGAAAGTCGATGTCATCATAAATCATGTTAAAAATGTAACACAATTAGAGAAATTTAACAGAACTATATTTCAAAATTGATGATTTGACGTCATGATGTGATGGCGTCATAAATCGTAAATCGACAAAACCAGTTTAAAATCATTTAAAAAGCATGAAATTAAAAGCACATTTATTTGTTATACATATAAGATTGATATTTGTTATTAACAGCTTTTATATTTTCACTCGTAGCTACGCCACTCGTGAAAATATTGAATTTGGTGTTCACTCAGTAAAATATAGTTTAATCTTACATGCAATGCAAACAAATATCCTCTATAAATTCCGAAATTCACAATTTTTGTGTTAAATATTGTATTTTGCTTAAGTCGATGCTAGGGGGTGTGGGGGATAATTTGCACCTTCTATGGATAGGCTTAATCAAACATAGCCTGAACAATTTTCAATATTGTCGTTTTAGGTGTTCTTTTCGGAATCCTGATATTTCTTTTTTCGACATAATGTTTCTGGTATATGGCTTTTACTATTAACAGATAATCGTACTGAGGAAGAACAATATTTAATGTTTCACTTCCAAAACCGCTTCTGTACAAAAACAGTATATGAGCTTCTTAAATTCAATAACATTGTTTTATAAGTTTGTATTACAAATATACGTTCAGAGCAAGCGTATACATAAATTACTGCCAAGTCATTTAAAGACTAGCCAAGGTCAAAGAGAGACTCACTTCTTATGTGTATCATAAGATATATAAAGCATGAAGTATAACAAAAGTTAAGTAAGTATATCTTTATATGTATCGCTAAGTTATAATTAATTAAATATGATAAAAAAGATCAACAAGGAAAGGCAGCGTACAATGAACACAGCCCCCACACGACCTAGCAACAAGAGCCATAGGCAAGGAGTCATAATGTGTTGAATATAGAATATGTCTTCTTAAACCAATTCCTCGCATATTCATCTGTAAA